TACCTATCTATCTACCTATCTACCTATCTCTCTATCTATCTATCTCTCTGTCTGTCTGTCTATCTATTTATCTGTCTATCTGCAAGTTTGAAAATGAATCTATTCTGCGAGACTTCCTCGATTTGTGAACTTAACACAATGTCAAAAACGAGGCAATTCTGCGAGACTTCGTCAATTTTTGAACTTAACAACGTCAAAAACGAAGCAATTCTGCGAGACTTCTTCAATTTTTGAATTTGACAACATCAAAAACAAAGCAATTCTGCGAGACTTCCTTCAAAAATGGAAAGTTAAGTGCAGCGCTGACAGCCTCGTACCAATGCGTTTTGCAATTTTTCCACTCCACCTGTCTAAAGTACTGCGCCTGCCACGAAAAATTGATGCCAGGTCATACGAAGTGCTGCACCTGTCACGCAAAATCATCTTAGCAAACCTACAGATCTGATGCTCCAAAATGCAACCCCTCTCAGGAAATCAGCGCCCTGACCTCCTAACATCTCTCATGAACATGTCTTTTGTACTGCGCCTGCCACAGAAAATGCATCTTTGCAGATCCTCTTCAAATGCCCCACGCCTGCCATGGTTTTTGGAAATGCGACAAAACCCTCACGTTTTGCTCACTTTTGACAAGGCGCACAATCCCTTGCGCCTGCCACGCGAAACGACATCTGAACCTCCAAAAGTGGCGCGCGCATTAGTGTTTTGCACATTTTGACTTCTAAATGTGCTTCGCGCCACAACGGCGTGCACTTTTTTGACGTCTCAACTTCCAAAAGTGGTCCGACACTGGTTTGCTTTGTGCATTTTGATTTCGAAATGTGCTTCGCGCCACAACGGCGTGCACTTGTTCGACATCTCAACTTCCAAAAGTGGTCCGGACCTGGTGTGTTTTGCGCATTTTGTCTTCGAAATGTGCTTTGCGCCACAACGGCGTGCACTTTTTCATCTCTCATCTGGCCAGATGGCTCCGCACCCGCCGCTTTAGCGAGCCTACTTTTCGACCCTCCGGAGCCACAAATCATTGGAAAAACACAGTGTTTCGCGGCTTTTCTACCTTTTCGCGCATCTGCATCTTCTTTCTTCTGACTCTTTCTCTTCTATCATCTTCTCTCTTCTGCTCTTCTCTTCTCCCTGCCTCTGCCCAGCTCTACTTTTCATCTGTCCATATTGTCGGAAGTTTGACTTCTAAACTTCCTTCGATTATATTAATATTTTAGAATCATACCGTATGATCTTGCCATGATGTCATGAACTCTAACCTCAGACTCTACTCCAAAATTGCTCCATGCTGTGCCTCTGGGTTCCCTGGCTGGAGGTCTAAACGATGGTCATTCTCCATGGCCGCATGCTTAATGGTTGGAAAAGTGTACCTCAGCAACGTATTTTTGTCAGGTCATCACTGCAAAACGAGGGCTCTCAATACTCATCACTCCAGGTCGGAATTGCAAGAAACACGTGTAGAAAAACAGCTGCATGAAGCTGCACAGCCTTCACTCAATTACATGCATAAAGGTGCATCATGGTGCATCCACCCTGGATCCTCCGCTGTTTTGGTGGCTGTAAGGGTCGAACTTTGACTCATCCATCCGTAAAAGGAGGTGAAAATCGGGCCGCTCCTGGTGTGACGAGCAAATGTCGTGACCTAAAACATGGAAATGGCCAATCCAGTCACACTATGGGTGTTTCCGATAATGACGGTATACTCCCCAAGGTGCAATGTTCATCGGGAAACGGATGATAAATGACTGGATTTAAGGCTTTCCCAAAAAAGACACACACAAACCCATACAACTATCATACAACTATCACCCCCCAAAATATGGTTCTTCAATTCAAGATGACAGCCACAGCGACCTGCCGCTTTTCCACCCCATTGCTCGGCTTGGCCAAGGAATAAAGCAGATCAGCCCCGGTGACCTGCAGGGCTTCCAACAAAGGTCCAACGGTCTGCCGGCTTTGGGGCCGGAGAGCGCATGCATCTAAGGCCACTTGGAGACAGAGGCTGCTGCATGGAAAGTCCATGTCCTCGTCGTTTCGTCGAATCTGAAGATCCGGTGGTTTTTTCGAAAAAACCCGGGAAAAATGGGAAAACCCAACGCTTCGAGATGGGTCCACGATTCCACGATGCAGCAAGGGCAGAAAGATGTTGGTCAGCCCAATTTTGACCATCCCAACGAATCAAAACCCTGCTACCCCCGGCGCCCCCGGTGTTCATCTTCACAATAGCTTGCTGCAGATGTTCATCCCCCATTACGGGAAATCAGCTGACCCCCATTCACATACCTGCATCCATTCATACTCATATCATCATATCCATAATCATACTCATATGCACCCCCAAAATTTGGGGTACCTAACCTTGACCCACTCATCTTCCATCGTTCCATCAATTTCCATGGGAATTTCCATGGCGAAATTCACTTCAGCCCGGCATCTTCCATATCTTCCAACATCCCAACGGCCCAGCTCCACTTTGCTCCGCTCACCGCAGCAAGTGAGGCCGTGAAGGCTACACTGGACGCAGACGGGAGGAGCTCCAGGCACCACCTCCAGCGCTGGGCCTTTTGGCAACCTGGCTCCGAAAATGCTCAGGACTTCATGGATCAACGGAGTTGTTGAATGGAGGAAAAATGAAATGTATTGGATTAGACGTTGATTTGAGATCTGATCTTTTAAATGAATCTTGTATGTGGATTATGCAGGGTAGATCAATTGCGTGTTAAGTTATAAGTAGGCTGCCATATATGTTCTTCATTAAAATCGAGAAAAAAAATGGCATGCGCCCAATTTAGCTATACAATCCCAGCTAGAAAGTGGTTCATAGTTCCATGTATCATCACTTTCTGATCCATTTATAGAAACAATTGGGGTGTGATACTGGTACTCGTACCCACCAACTACTTCCTATCTGGGTTTTCGAACTGTGCTCAGTCAGGAATTGTTTCTCTACTCATCCTCCACAATCCACCAGACCTTCCTCTGCCCAGAAACATATTACTATGGAATTCCAGGTCAGCTCATCCGGCTGTAGGCTTAAACTCTTCATGGCATCCAAATAGTTCAAGGGTAGAAGCCAGCATGCTCCTGTAAGAGGACAGCCCTAAATTCACTCACAAATCATCAAGAAAGACGACTCTAGAAGACAGTTGGTGGCTGGAAAATTCAAATCTTGTCCAAATCTCCAAATTTCGTTGTTTTCGTCATTCGCAGGTCTCATGGTTTAAGCATTACCATCATTACCTATATATGCCTATCCCATAAAATGATGCCAATGACCATCAGGGTATCATCCATCTCCATTATCTCCATTTATCTCCCAGTGTCCATCTTGACAGGCACTGCTTGCCATGTTGTAGCTGCTCACCGTTGGTTCCAATGGATCCATGAGCCCCACAGCTGTAGGCCACTGCGGACCAGTGCAGGCGCCCATGGCAGCGCTGTGTTCAGAGCTCTCGGGCTGTAGACCCAGGGTCTTCGTCCTGGCTTTTTTCGACCCTGGGACCTTTGGAGAAAAAAGGTCCCCTCTGGTAAACGTTTACATAACTATAGAAAATCACAATTTTCAATGGGAAAATCCACTATAAATGCTCATTTTCAATAGCTATGTTGAATTACCAGAGGGTCACTGATTTTTGGAGCTCCGATTTTTGGAGAAAACTTCAACGTTCTGCAAAGTTGCATCTACAGTAGGTGTTATATAAAACTGGTTGGTGGTGACTTAACCATCTTGAAAAATATGACTTCGTCAATGGGAAGGATGACATCCCATATATGAAATGGAAATAAGATTCATGTTCCAAAGCACCAACCAGATTAGGTGTTTGGACCTACTTCGGAAAGTTCCTTAGAAAACTGGTCAAAGGGCACTTGGGAGGGCACTTGGGATAGGGTGCCCCTAAATCTATGGGTTCATCACCATGTTCCTTATCAAAATTATTCAAAATTGCCATCTTGGTGCTAAATCCCACCATTTTCAGACACACCCATGGTGAACTCCATGAAGGTCAAAACCCCCCAAGCTTTTGGTTAGAAATCCCTAGTGCTTCAATGTCCCGTTTTGCTTGCTGAAGTCCAAAAATGTGTAGTCCCCATGTGTGATGGTATTAAATCCTGAGTTTTTGCTGCTTAAATCACCAAATTTTGCTTAGTTTAGACCCATATTTCGCCATTTTGGTTGGTTTATACTCAGTGATTATACCCAGTGGTTTATACCCATATTTCGCCAAGCATCTGCTGAAAAAAAGCCAGTGCTTCGTTCCACTTCGCCGCCTGTGCCAGGCCGCTGATCAGCACCGAGCGCACTCGGCCGCCTCCGCCGCCTCGGCCGCTCGCCGGAGGCACAGCGGCCAGACGGTGGGACATCAACTCCCAGTGCCCGGAAGCCTTTAAGGATAACAAGATGCCTAGCGCGGCACTTGGGTGAATTCTTAATGGGATTCTTAATGGGATATCTATGGGATTTGCTATTTTTCTAAACCCAATATGATCAATATGATGAATGGGTGCAGTTGGGTGACAAAAATGGGTATAACTTTGGGATTCTAACATCCATAAGATGGGATATTTTGCCCCGACAACTATGGTGCACTGTAACCCACTTATTAGTGGAACTCCACCCCCAAGCACAACATCCGTAATGCTTGTTGTTTCAATGGTTAATCTGAACTGAGTGAGGTCAAAAAATGTTTGTTCAACGGGTGAAACTGGTATAGTTGATGAGGCAGAATATGGGGTAGTCCTTCAAACTTGGGGGATTTACATGGATTTACCCCAGTTCATGGCCATTGAATAAGGGGAAACGATGAGAAGATGATAGAGGTCCAGGGCTGTTAGGCAGCAAAGCTCTGCCTCCAAGGCATGGAATGGTCGTCTCAAGGTGTGACTGTTCCATGGTCACCCATAGAGCCATGGAATAACTCCAGCGTTGTGGGAACCATGAGTTCATTAAAGCACTTGCAGCTTCCTGGGACGATGAAAAAGACATGGTGATGGGTCAAACAAGGGGATACCCATGACATAGCCATGACCAAAGATACCCTCTGGGAATTTAACGTAGCTATGGAAAATCACCATTTTTAATGGGAAAATCCACTATAAATGGCAATTTTCAACAGCTATGATAGTTTACCAGAGGGTACAGTTTTTCTTCAGTAAGGCCTCCATTTTTGTTGACCCATCCCTGAAAACATCCAGGCTCCTTGCATTCAGTGCTTTGTGACCTCGAAGTGACCAACAATTCGAGAGCGGGTCTCCATCTCCTGGAACCTATGCTGCTAATGCTTGCGACCAAAGTAAAGTCATCTGCTTCGATTGGATAAGTTGCCAGCTGTTGAAGGACTCTGAGAACTCTGGACCATTGCATCTCAGCATCTCTCAGTGCACTGATAAATGCGTTGAAGGTAATGATGTTGGGTTCCGGTCCCTCCTGCAAGGTTACATCATGATCATCATGATCTCGTCCTGATCACAACTTCGGACCATCAAAGTTGGGGGCCCCTATTCCCCATCATGATTTATCTATTTACCAGTACTTGCTCTATTATTCATGGTTTTCGAAAAATTCTTTAGTATTTAGTTCTTTAGTATTCTTTAGTATTCTTTAGTCATATCCAGCTCCCCAGCTCCCCTGGGTCCCCTGCTCCTGCAGCATGGATTCCAAGAAACTCTCAGCTTTTTGCCATTGCCTTCCCTTCTCTAAGGCGCTGATGCAGGAGGACAAACTCACCACGTTTCGTCGCCTCATCTGGCCATGCAGCTGGAGAGCGCGTTGCCATTGGCAACCCTTCTCACCTGGGAACAGCGACTCACCGACTAACAGTGACCTGTCGGGGAAAGAAAAGACGTCAATTCCTTTGATTTCTTTGAAAATGTGGGAGAAAACCCCTTGAAATCTGTCTTAAAATCACGTTCCCCGCAAGTCTTATACCCCAGTTTCAGACACTTAGCTGTTCATTTGAAAATGAAACAAAACGAATGTGTCGATCATTTTCTGGGTATAATGAGCCACCACCCTGACAATTTGGCGTTTTTTTGGGATTGTCATCCCAAATAAGGTGAATGAGTCGAGGTATGTGAAAAATGAACGACCAAACAGCTTTGAAGCAGATGGTACTCTGATCAGTGGCTTCAACCAGCCTCAAAGACGAATCTAGAGTATCAGCTGGTCATCATCACGATCCTTGCTTGGAAATAAACCCTTCCATCCCATGGTTGAGATAATCATGTTCCCCCTTTTCCCCATGAAAATAACCTGTTGTTCGGTTTCACCCATTCTTGACAAAAGCAAAATTGCCAGGTGACAGGCACTGATCATGGCGCTGTATGCCCCAATGCTGTGGTCAAGGGTATAGTCCGGCATCTGACAGAAAATCGCCAGGGCAGCTTGCCATTCTTCACTCCTGGTGGATGTTGGGATCTGGTTTCAGTTTTCATAAAACGCAGAGAAAAGGACCCTGCTTGGGTGTGCAGTTCCAGTTTTAAGTCAATACATAAGATCTTCATCGTTTATGCTTGTAATTACCATGGTACCCATGACAAATTCCACCCCAACTGCGCCCAACTGGCAGGGCTGAATCTCCTTCCACAGCTGGAAATCACTTTGCTGAAGCTCGCGCTGTTGAGGTGGCGCATCCGATCGAACACGTGCAGTGCTCGCTTCCATGGTATGATGCCCAGGGCCAAGTTGTAGCAATCTGCCAGGAGCCATGATGGGCCAGGGTTGGGTCCCCATCATATAGTACTTTAGATGGGAAAAAAAACATGTGATTTAGCCAACACAAAAAATAGCGATTTGACCTATGAAGGATGTCGAATGATCAAATGGTGCAATTTGTTTTGAAAACGAGGTGTCGCAAAACCCCTCAAGCATCAGCTGATATTCAGCTGATCTGAAGTAATGCAAAAAACAACTGGTACCCTGATGAACTCAAGAGAAGATGAATGTTCATCCCAAAATAAAACAGGGTTTATCACAGATCGTGCAAAAAAATGCTACAGCTCACGGTGGGTATCCTGTCGTCTCAGTCTGCCACACGCTTCTCATACGCTCCAGCAAGATTTCTGCATGGGCCCAGCTCTCATGACCCCACAACTTGCAGCAGGACAGTGCGTCATGGAAGGAGTCAACTGAAAGGTCATGTCCTTCAAAGTAGAGCTCTTCAAAAAGTTGCAGATTCCTGCAGCAATAGGCCCTTTTGGCGCTTTAGTTTAGTGAATATACCAGGCTCAAAAGCCAACGTGGTTGAGCCATCAAGATAAGACTCCTCCACAAAATGTATTGCTTTAAAAATGACTTTTGTAAAGCCAAAACACAGAGCCCACTTCTTGACAGCGGCAAGGCTTCCTAGCAGCGCCTCAATCGCAGCGTTGGAGGAAGGAGTCACCACCCGTGGCGCTGCTACGAAGAAGTGAAGAGCCCAACGCCAATGTCTGGCAGATGCGGTCTCCAGAATAGCAGAGCGTAAGACCCCAATGGCAGGCGTAGCCCCTCGGGCTGGAGAGAAAGATTGCGCTGTTGTGTGGTGGTTGTCAGAAACGGAAACCAATTATTTATATATATATATATATTCAAAATACCATCAATATGAAAAACACTAATCCGCCGACCCCAGACGATGGCAGGGGGAGCGCGTCCGAGGAGCACCTAGGCGATGGCGGCCCAGCAGCATGTCCTTGGCCACCTGCCGGGCGCTTTCCGGAGATTTTCTTCTGGTTTCAGAAAGCAACGTTAGGCAGTAGGCTGGCCTTAAACGCTTCCCGGCGCCCTAAGCTGCCCTTAAACCCTTCCCGGCGCCCACCTGCCTAGGCGATGGCGGCCCAGCAGCATGTCCTTGGCCACCTGCCGGGCGCTTTCCGGAGATTTTCTTCTGGTTTCAGAAAGCAACGTTAGGCAGTAGGCTGGCCTTAAACGCTTCCCGGCGCCCTAAGCTGCCCTTAAACCCTTCCCGGCGCCCACCTGCCGGGCGCTTTCCTGGAGATTTTCTTCTGGTTTCAGAAAGCAACGTTAGGCAGTAGGCTGGCCTTAAAGGCTTCCCGGCGCCCGAAGCTGCCCTTAAACCCTTCCCGGCGCCCTTGGCGGCCCAGCAGCATGTCCTTTGGCCACCTGCCGGGCGCTTTCCTGGAGATTTTCTTCTGGTTTCAGAAAGCAACGTTAGGCAGTAGGCTGGCCTTAAACGCTTCCCGGCGCCCTAAGCTGCCCTTAAACCCTTCCCGGCGCCCTTGGCGGCCCAGCAGCATGTCCTTTGGCCACCTGCCGGGCGCTTTCCTGGAGATTTTCTTCTGGTTTCAGAAAGCAACGTTAGGCAGTAGGCTGGCCTTAAAGGCTTCCCGGCGCCCTAAGCTGCCCTTAAACCCTTCCCGGCGCCCTTGGCGGCCCAGCAGCATGTCCTTTGGCCACCTGCCGGGCGCTTTCCTGGAGATTTTCTTCTGGTTTCAGAAAGCAACGTTAGGCAGTAGGCTGGCCTTAAAGGCTTCCCGGCGCCCTAAGCTGCCCTTAAACCCTTCCCGGCGCCCTTGGCGGCCCAGCAGCATGTCCTTTGGCCACCTGCCGGGCGCTTTCCTGGAGATTTTCTTCTGGTTTCAGAAAGCAGCATGTCCTTTGGCCACCTGCCGGGCGCTTTCCTGGAGATTTTCTTCTGGTTTCAGAAAGCAACGTTAGGCAGTAGGCTGGCCTTAAACGCTTCCCGGCGCCCTAAGCTGCCCTTAAACCCTTCCCTGCGCCCTTGGCGGCCCAGCAGCATGTCCTTTGGCCACCTGCCGGGCGCTTTCCTGGAGATTTTCTTCTGGTTTCAGAAAGCAACGTTAGGCAGTAGGCTGGCCTTAAACGCTTTCCCGGCGCCCTAAGCTGGTTTCAACCGGCCCCCTAAGCTGCCCTTCAACCCTTCCCGGCGCCCTTGGCGGCCCAGCAGCATGTCCTTTGGCCACCTGCCGGGCGCTTTCCTGGAGATTTTCTTCTGGTTTCAGAAAGCAACGTTGGCAGTAGGCTGGCCTTAAAGGCTTCCCGGCGCCCTAAGCTGCCCTTAAACCCTTCCCGGCGCCCTTGGCGGCCCAGTAGCATGTCCTTTGGCCACCTGCCGGGCGCTTTCCTGGAGGTTTTCTTCTGGTTTCAGAAAGCAACGTTAGGCAGTAGGCTGGCCTTAAAGGCTTCCCGGCGCCCTAAGCTGCCCTTAAACCCTTCCCGGCGCCCTTGGCGGCCCAGCAGCATGTCCTTTGGCCACTGCCGGCGCTTTCCGGAGATTTTCTTCTGGTGCAGAAAGCCCGTTAGGCAGTAGGCTGGCCTTAAACGCTTCCCCCCGCCCTAAGCTGCCCTTAAACCCTTGCGCCCTTGGCGGCCAGCAGCATGTCCTTTGGCCACCTGCCGGGCGCTTTCCTGGAGATGTTCTTCTGGTTTCAGAAAGCAACGTTAGGCAGTAGGCTGGCCTTAAACGCTTCCCGGCGCCCTAAGCTGCCCTACTGCCCTTAAACCCTTCCTGGCAGTAGGCATAAAACCACAGTCTACACTCTACACTTGACACTCTTCACACTCACCCTCTACACTCCACACTTAATCCTCCACACTTTCCACTCTACACTCTACGCTTTACCCACTGCACACTCCACACTCCGCACTTTACACTCCACGCTCCTCACTCTGCACCCCACACGCTACCAGGGGTCGGCGGCAGGGGGCGGCAGCCCTTTAATTATATTGTATACAATCAATATGTAGTATGTAAAATATAAAATAATCAATATAATACATAATATAGAATACAAATATGTATAATCATAATCTTTTCTCAACGATGGAGGCAGCCATTAGATTTAAAGAGGCAGCCCAGCAAATAGGGAGATTCCTGCCAGGTCTCTAGGACGATTCCTGAAATCTATAGACTCTTCACTTAGATCCACTCAGATTTGAACATATAGACATAGATGTGAATCTAAAGACATAATGACATAAGCTAGTTTTGATTAGTTTTGCTAATAGGTGTTGCTTTTTGTTTTGGCTTTTTGTTTGCTATGTTTTTGCCAAGGGCACCCTGCAAATAGGCAGAGACCAATTGCCCCGTGGCCTGTTTCACCAACACTTCCCAGCGAGCTGCTCCAGCCGCTGGTTCCATTTGGAACGCATGGCACGATGGCGGTTTGAGCCAACATCTTGGCCTGTCCTAACGTGTTGTGCTCGTTTAAGGTGCTAGATCTTGAAAAATGGGCGAATCCTCTCAATCGGGAAAAAAAACTAAAAGTCAATTTGGGTTGATCATCTGATGTTGCGAAAAATATGAATCATTCAAATGGAACTTTGATTTTTTTTAAAGAATTGAGGTATCTCCATGGATACCCAAAAATAATCTGGACAAAATCATCTGGCAGAAAAATCCCATGGATTCCCCTGCAGGATTCCCCTGCAGAAGGATCTCGGAGCTCCTCCAAAGGTGAGCCTTCCACGACACAGTCCTTGACATATGCCCACGCCTGCAGGGAAAAGTCACTGATTTGGGATGAAAAGAAAACTGATGTCCTTTTAGCTTGAAAGGAATGATACCCTCTGGTAATTTAACATAGCTTTGGAAAATGACCATTTATAGTTGATTTTCCCACTAAAAATTGCCATTTTCAATAGCTATGTTAAATTACCAGAGGGTAAGACTGATCTTAGCAATCCGACCAGAATTTTCTCCGTGCTCTCTATCTCTCTTTGTCGACTTATCGTTTTTCTTTGTCCTACAATTGTCACAGCAAAGAACAAAAGAAAAGAACGGCGTGGTTTCGCTTCCTTTGGGGGGAAGGTGCTGCGCGCTTGTTACCACCAAAGCCCCCCTCCTGCAAAAAACGAAATGTACATACACATACAGGCATGCTTTATTATTTGATCCCGATAATAGTTGTTGTTTGATCCATTTCGACCCATGTGCTTTTGATCCCAATAAACCCTAATATATATATATATATACGTATAAATGTGTATATATATATATGTATATATGGTTTCCTGTAGATCTTTCAAATAGTTTAACTATCTCCGCGATACAGATGGAACCCAATAATTGATTTTATTCATTATTATTCCAATGATGTTCTTTTCTCCCCAATTGATTACATAATTGGAAAATCGTATAATGTTATATAATAATATGTTATTCCAATGATACAAATGGAACCCAATATTATTGTATGCCAATGATGTTCTATGTCATAATTATATAATACTATATAGACGAAATCGTCGCAACGATGGATTGCTTCACTGCAAGATCTCACCTGAGGGCTGAGACACGTCTCGCCAATTGCTGCGAGCGGTTCTGCAATGGAAATCTGCTCTAAGGGTGGACCGGCAATGATGTACCTGGTGGCAGGTGAAAGGCGACAAGCAAACAGGGCAGCAGGGTACATTCAATATCATGAAAAATCATTTTCGCCCTCAGTATGCGCCAAAATCTCTTGTAAGCACAAGACATAGTGAGCTATATGTCTTGCTTTCTCTGAAAATTGGCAGCCCCAAATCCACTGGTTGATGATCAGTTCTCGTATCAAAATTCCTATTTTAAGGGATATTTGGGGGCCAAAAACCCCACTTTCAAACACCATATAGTCATATGGCAGTGGGTCAAAACCCTGGTACCCCTGTAGTTCACATCAAAATAGCTGGGATTTATGGATGTTCATCCCCCTATATATGGTATTAATAGGTATTGATCCATACCCATATAGACGTGTTTTCTGCGCAACCTTTCGGAACCTGGCTGAAACTCGTCAGCACAACTGGAATCCACTGGAGCCAACTAGACACCACCCGTTGCGCATTCAGTGGCTGTATTCGGCGCACTCTAATCGTTTCACGCTCGTCTCGGGTGGTTGTCTTCCACCCACCTCAAAAAGGGGGGAACATCACATGACTTCGGATGACTTACCCTCTGGTAATTTAACAGTTTGCTATTGAAAATGGCCATTTATAGTGGATTTTCCCATTAAAAACGGTGATTTTCCATAGTTACGTTAGTTTACCAGAGGGTAGGTCTTCTGTACAGCTTTTTGCATCAAAAAAACCATCTTGCGATCACCGAAACGCCAGATGGCTTTCAGGGTTTTCACATCATCAAATCGCTGGTCGGTTTATGGGTTTATGGTCGGCTCTTGAGATCCGCACCTGGAGGATAGTCACCTCCCCACAGCCAACACCAATGTGAAGGCACAGGCGCACGTCGCCCACTCCTGGAGAACCAACTTTCGGCAAAAAAACGGAACCGAATTCGGCTTTGCCCTGCTGTTTGAACCATCATTTCGGTATTTCGTTGTTCATTGCAGATCTACAAAATGTATCAAAATCTGGGAAAATCACCAAAATCGGTGAACTTTGGCACATCGCCATTTTGGGAACAAAGAAACCACTGCCACACGGAATTTTTGACGTTGCGTCATAGGTGGCACGTCCTGTGTCGAACTGGTGCAGTCGCTTGTGGATTTCGATACAGCAGGCACAAGCCTTGCAGCAACAGTTCAACGGGCAAAGGAGATATGGCAGGTTGGTTAAATGGATGTGCATAACATCCCAGTTGGTAAATGGCTAATATTCATATCACATCCCAGCTCTATGTGGTTTATATATAGTTTACATATGGGCTATAAATACGTATGTTTATATGTATATATATATATGGGTTGTACATAGGATCCATTTACTAAGTGGGATGCACCTCTAATTAGACAAGTTCAAATCTTGAAAGTGGAGCCCAGGCACCCTCAGCACTGCAGTGTTCTGCGGGCCCATGTCTGGTAAACCTCAAGACACATCACATTCGAATGGGTCCGTACAGAAATGGGGAATTTGAAATTTGCTTAAATTTGCAATGTTACACGGGAAAAGATCATGATAAATGATGAACTGCTGGTTTGGGGGTACCCTATTTTCCGAACAAACACAAATGTGCATGATGCGAAGGTCACATCTTTTGGAATGGAAGTCGATTCCGCTGCTGAAACTGACCTTCTGTAGTCAGAGTCACCGCGTGTGCCGGCAACCACTAAGCATCCCACCCCATGTCCCATGTGGAGGAACCACATGGTTGTACTTCTCGTGCTTTGTATCATCCACAGCCTGGAAAGTCAGGTGGCGCATCATCCGGCCCAGCTGCCCAGCTTCCGAAAGGTTTGGAACGACTGAGGGCAGTGCCTGGAAGTAAATGGTCAATGCATCGCCACTGAATTTGATCACCTGCACAAGGCCAAGGACACAAGTGACACTAGGTATGGCAAGGGGCAGGAAAAATCCTGGGGCAATTTTTGCCTACAAAAATTGCTTGGACCTCCAAGTAAAACCTGTCAATTTTTGTTCAGAAAACCTGCAGCAGTGGTGTCACTTGCAGCTTCCGCAAGCCGCTGGGGTGCCCCACATCGCCACGATATGAGTTGATAATGTCAATCAAAGGAGTGAAGAAAGAAGTGAGGCCTCAGTGGCGTGATCAAGCCATTTTTTCAGCAGTTCTTGGTGCTCCAAACAGGTGTTTGTTTGCGGCTTTTTTTCAGAGGAATTTTCAGCCATGCCCCTAATAAGAAACAGCCTCATGATCCTCATGGTTACTGTAGTAATGTTTCATCCCCTGAACTCTGGTTTATGGGGGAGTTATTAACGGGGCATCATGGTATGATCTTCCGGTCCCCTTTTTGCGGAAGGGCCACCGGCAACTCGGCAGTCGATGTCTGAGTTCCAGGGCACAACGACAGCAGCTCTGCTCCATCACTTTTCTGGGAAAGCCTGTGAGCTCGGCACTGAGATGGTGTGAGCTAAGATAGCTAAGAAAGGCACGGAATGGACTTAGTGATTCTATCAATCATTCTATCTGTTCAACAAGTTCGATAAAGATCGAAATTCTGTTCCAAAGTAGATCGAAACCTCAAAAAAGATGGTTTTTAAAAGTTATCATTTTTTTCAGATTCGGATTCTGAATTCCTCCAGAAACTTTTATCTTTTTAAGGACGTTTCTTTTTCAGCTACCCCAAGGGTGAGCCCAGAAAGGGCGCCTTTCGGTCAGTGCGGTGAAACCGCTAGCGTCTGAAAAGACAACTGCTCCTCAGTGTTTTGGACGAATTCTGCGTATAAAAAACTATCATAAATAGGAATTGAGGCATGAAAAACGGAGATTTAACATGATTTAACTATCAAAAAAATATGGGATTGGTTTAAAATGCTGGCAAAAAAACAGATTTAACTCTATCAAAAATGGACTGAATAATTGCTGTAAAGACAATCATTCTATGGCGATATCATGGAATAAATCCATTTACCCAGCACAGATTACCATGGAGGCAATTCTGAGGCAATGGCTGTAAAAACCATATAAATCCATCACAAACCAACGATATGATATTACCCCAATTTATAACCCATGTTTGATGGTAGCAAGAAATTTCTTGGGGAGATAACGGCTATAAAAACCAATCATTTTATGGCGATTTAGTGTGCTGCAACCAACCAACAATCTGATTTGGGCCTGTCTGAAAATGGGATATACCGCCAAAGCTGCCATTTGAATGGGGGAAATGACGGTAAACCGCTGAATTGTGGGGTACAATTCACTCACTTCCCTCTGTCACATCACAAAAGACACATGTCTATAGATTCGATCAAAAGCCACCCTGGCGGACCGATTTTTTGCCGTCAAATGGATGTTTATCCCAGAAAAATATGACATTGTAGATTTTAGGCCACCCTCACATGAGTAATGGCTATAATATGCTATAATCATAAGTTTCGTGTCAAAGCCAACTGCTGCAACATGCCGCCCATATGTGGCCAGGCAGTGGCTTTACAGCAAAGCAACATCTGAGAAATGGTACCTAAAATGGATTGGGAGCACATCCACCCAACCCATTTCTGGACTATGACAATAGTCCTGCAGTATAGACGTCACTATCACCCTAAAACATCATAAAACATCTGATCTTTCACAATAAGAACATGCTACAGCACATCATTCAGGTGTGTCTGAAAATAGGGTACCCCAAAATTACATGGTTTATCATCATATGTTCCCTTTTTTGAAAAGGCCCCTTCATAGGGCCCATATATGGCATTTTTTGGGGGGGGAAATTCTAACCAATGTTCAGGTTACCACACCCATTCCGTGTGTTGCTTGGGCTGCCACCGGTGCCCCTGTGGATTACCACGTGGCCCTTTTCCAATGCGCCCTGAGAGATGTGTCATTCGACGTTTCCAGCAATTGGTGTCCACAACCTCGTTGGGTCTTTGATCATCAAAAGTTGTAGTTCCTAAAAGCGGATCCAAGAAGCAGCCGCTTTTAGGTTCAGGTCCCATTTTATAGGCTCCTCGAAACCAATGTCTAGGGCAATGAAGTCCACAGATCGTTAGCAGCGCTGCCTCAAAATCGGCTTCTTGCAACACCTGAGCAGAACTCTGACGCCGCTGTTTTCAAGACAAAAATTCTGGCACTTGTTTCTTGTTCGCAGCGTAGCTGCATTTCCAGGTTATATTGCAAGGTTTTGAATCCAACAATAAAGTGTTATATGAATTGGTGTAGAGTAACCTATCGTTGTTTCGTTCACGCAAAATCTTTTTTGCACTTGTGATATGATGTTCTATGATAGAAAGTATAACACCACAATCTTTGCGAAAATGCTGGGGACATGGCCCATGGAATGAAGGCCAGCGCACCCTTCAGGGTATCTCCATTCCTCTTTTTGAACCTCAGAGGTTTCTTCATCAGGAATTTAGGATTTACCCCGCCATTGCATGTCCGTTTTGAGGGGAAAAGAATGCTGTCAACCATGAGATTGTAGGGTACCCTGTTTGATGAAGCAAGTACTGTACCTTTCGAGGTTTGATGCTTCCATGCTGAAATGTGTGCAATAAACTGATGTGCCCGTCTCAAACACGTAAACCTGAAAACACAAAGCAAAAGTTTTGGACATCTTCCAGTCGCAGACCCCCGGTGCTGTTTAGACCTGCTTAGGGCACCCAGACCAACTCAGTATTCGCTCATCCAGGTTCTCAACAAAGCTGCTATCTTTGCTGAACTTGTCTTCCCTTGGCTTGAAAGCTGTGACCCGACGACTCAGCCAACGACTAAGCCAACGACGACACCCTTGGCACTAGAATACCAACCCTGGGTATGCAGGGGAAAAGTCCAAGTTGATGACTTTGTGAGGAAGCTACCTGAGACAAAAACACATATTTTATGTGTCTCCATATTATAGGGGTAAGAAATTGGGAAAAAATATCAGATATCATGTATATATAATATCATATCATATCATGTCATATCATATCATATCATATTACATTATATCATATCATATCATATTACATCATATCATATCATATTATATCATATGATATTATATCATATCATATTATATTATATCATATCATATCATAT